CCTATTATTATTATTATTATTATTATTATTATTATTATGTATTACATAAGAATATATATATATATATATATATATAGTTATATATATTGTTATAATTATAACTGTCTCTTACTACTACTACTATTAATAATAATAATAATAATAATAATAATTTAAAGTTATTATTATATAGACATCATTAATTGCATACGTGTGCATTAAATAAAATAATAAAAACAGCATTATTAATTCCCTATTATTATTATTATTATTGTTGTTGTTGTTATTTGTATTATTATTATTATTAATCACATACATATGCATAAAATAATACTCCCTATTATTATTATTATTATTATTATTATTATTATTATGTATTACATAAATGACTTTATTACATAAACCAATTTTAAATAGATAAAGTATTTTTTTAAATCAATAATACTAATTATACTACTACTAATAACAAGTCAGAAAACACAACGACAAATCTGAAAACAAATTAACAAGTCAGAAAACACAACGACAAATCAGACAAACCGGAAGAGGTAGGTATAGTTTGAGACAGCGCCATTGGTTTGGGATTACTCACCGCTGACTGGACGAGACATCTGTCAATCAACATATACAGGAAGAACCAGCCGAAGAACAGCAGAGTCGTGGTAGAAAGTTCGGAGATGGTATTAAAGTAGCTCAGTTTAAATGTATTGTATGAATTGCCCTTACTCTGGAATAAAAAATACGGGGTGTCTATTTACATTTAGTTAAAAGTGACTGTAAGTCATCAGCTCCAGTGGCACAGATGGATAAGTGTGTGTTGTTGGCTTTTTACTAAATGTAAATATACACTCCATATTTTTTATTCCATAGTAAGGAAAATTCGTACAATACATTTAAACTGAGCTACTTTAATACCATCTCCGAACTTTCTACCACGACTCCGCTGTTCTTCGGCTGGTTCTTCCTGTATACGTTGATTGACAGATGTCTCGTCCAGTCAGCGGTGAGTAATCCCAAACCAATGCCGCTGTCTCAAACTATACCTACCTTTTCCGGTTTGTCTGATTTGTCGTGTTTTCTGACTTGTTATTTTGTTTTCGAATTTGTCGTTGTGTTTTCTGACTTGTTATAATGTTTTCTGAATTGTTGTTGTGCTTTCTGAATTGTTATTTTGTTTTTTAGACTTGCATTTGCGTTTGTAATTTGTTATTTTGTTTTCAGAATTGTGATTTGCTTTGCACTTCTCGGCCACCGTACACAGCTCTTCTGCATACGACTACAGTTCATACTCATCATGTTAAAACTGCCAAGCTCCAAAAACCCAAAGAAGCAAAATAGAATCACTGATTTAATGTATTTCAAACAGTGTTATTTTAGTATTATTTATTGTATTATATACAAATATACTATTATATATACTCTATTATAGTATATGTGTGTGTGTGTGTGTGTGTGTGTGTGTCTGTTCAGTTTTACATTTTATGCTTTTGTCCTTGTTTAATGTTTGTACTAAGCTTTAACTCAGCATTCCTGATTTTCATTTTTTTCTTTCTTTCTTTCTTTTAATATAATTATTTTAATCTAATATATTTATATTTTATTTAAGATTTATTGTTAATTTAGTCATATTTATGCATATTATTATAGTATTAAATATTTCGAATTTGTTTTGTTTTTATATTTTCAGTTTTCCATTTTTATAGTCATTTTTATTCGTTTTATAAACTTCTATTTAGCTTTAACCTATTTTCATTTCAGTTTTATTTTGGTTAATTTTAGCACTTCAAATTAAACCTATTTTATTTCAGTTACATGCCGAGGCAACATTTAATTTAACATTTTCATTTTCTTTTAAGTTTATATTTTTAATGTAATCTATTTCAGCTTTACGGTTATTTAAGTGTTATATGCTATTATACTCATATGTATCAAAATTTTGAAGTAGCTTTTATTTATATATTTTCAGTTTTAATTTTGTCATCTGTATTAGTTTTAGTATTTTTAGTATTCCAATTTAAACATTTTATTTATTTATTTGGTAAAGTTTAAAATTTATATTTCATGTCAGCCTTATTTCAGTTAACTTTTTTAATAGTTTTACTTAACATTAAATACACTGATTTATACAATGACGCTCTGAAAAAGAAAAAAGTTACTCAGCAGGTCTCTTTAAATGAGTCGTACCAGGACTGTGAATGAGATTTGAGAGCTGCAATGTTCAATACTTTGTATCTATGGCTTCAGATGTCGTATTGTTTTGGAGCTTCATTGTATGTAAAGAGTGTTTCTATTTGTTAAAAAGGACACACTGACAGCATCTGGAATTGGAACAGCAGAATTTTTTGTCTAAACTTTCTTGATTCACTGACGAAATTAAAGAAAAGTGGTGCAGCGGCGGCATGTAAACAGATTTTCTATGCAAAGCTGCAGAAATCAGGCGGCTCAGGAAAAGAGGGTAAACTCCTGTCCAATGTTGAGAGGTTGAGAAAGATGTGCTCTGGCACAATAAAGCACAGATTTAGAAGTGATTTAATCTCTTAATCAGAGCTGTAACTGAAGAACCGGAGGGCAGGATTGTCTGCTGCTAGACGATAGCATCCGTGCAGTGACCCCACGGTGTGTGTGTGTGTGTGTGTGTGTATTAGGAGATGAGCATGGAGTTGGGCGCTTTAATGTCTCTTCCTGAGGTGCTGCTTCAGAAAGCGGCTGCAGTGAAGGATAAACACTCTCACCATCCAGCCCTCCGGCTGAGGCCTTCCTCAGCTTTACACACACACACACACACACACACACACACACACACACACACTGCCCTCCTGTACATCTCAAAGCCTCTTCTTCCAGCCGTCCATCTCCCTGCATTTCACATTCACATGGCCAAGGGTCACTCATGGCAACTGGCTCCTGAATGCTCTTTTTTTCTTGTTTTCTGGTCGTGAGAAATCGCCTCTGTGTTTTCAGTCTAACAGTTTTGCAGATTCAGTTCAAATTGTCTTTGACTTTAACATTCAACATGACCTTACAGACAGACAGACCAACTTTTTTTTTTTTGTAACAAAATAAAATGATTATGAACAATAAATAAATAAAGACACCAAAGTTCAATATTAGTTAAAATATTAAATAATAAATAATTATATTACCATCTAATTATATTATAAATAATAATAATAATAATTATTATTATTATTATTATTATTATTATTATTATTATTATTATTATTATTACTAAATAGTTCATATAGTATTAAAATAAAATAATATTATAATATGTGCATTTTTTAAATGTAATATATAATATTACATTGTTAAATATAAAAATTAAATCAAATAAAACAAATTAGCATTATAATTGATATTAAATAAATAAAGACAACACTGTTAAATAAAATAAAATAATTAAAAGAAATCAAATAATAACAAAATAAAATAAAACATAACATTTAAAATAAAATTATAGTCTGCCAAAGTTATTAGGATCATTAGTCACATGTATATTATATACTACAGATGCACATACATGAGTCAGTTCAACCATCTGGAATTTGGGAGTCAGAACTAAAATTGTATGTATAATTAAAAAATATATTTACTGAACTAGTATTGGTATTTTTAATCACAATATTGTTTTCTAAAAGCAGCAAGCAAATTATTTTACAGTTCCGGGGCTTTCAGGCAATATTTGCAATAAGGTTTGAATATATTTTAGTTTTGTCTGATAGGGCCAACGATGACCGAAACATTCACAAAATCACAAAAAAACAACACTGGACAATATTAAAAGCATCCTCTGATGTAAAGCTGCTAATAAAACTAATCAGGTTTAGATTACAGGCTAAGTTGTTCAGCGAGAGCCTCTAAAACACCCAATTTACTCATGCAATTGAACTCTAGCTTCTAATGTTTTGGTAATCGCTTTCTTCAGTTTTCTTCAGGCTGTTTAAGGTTAATTGAAATATATATTTAATTCAAGAACCCTTTCCCTAAACAGTTGCAAAAATGGATACAAAAGACAGTAGTTAACGGACATTTAATTGAACACAGCCTGGTTAGAGTAAGACTTTTTAATGCACTGTACAGTAGGGTCCACTGACTTTGAGAGCTTTAATAGAAACAATATTAAAAAAAAAAAAAAAATAGATATGTTTCTGAGACTTCCACAGAAGTCCTTCAACAAAGACCTCCACACTTTTATTTCAAACCCCCAGAAACTCATTCTCCAGTGCACGACACTTCAAAAGTCCGCTTTGAAAACTAAAGCCTATCAATCAGCTTTTATTCAGCGCTCTTACTTAGCAATACTTGTCCTTTCACAATGTCACTTCAGGCAAAAGCAACAGAAAAACACAACAGAGAGCAGAGAAAACACATCGCTCGCACATTTCACGCGCGCTTTATTAACACAGAATACCAAAGCGACGCCAAAGACCAAGAAGAGAATCCAAACTTTCCGACTTCAAACGTGGCGTGATCAGGGCCGCATTAAGACCGCTCTGGGCCCCGGGACTATGACTTACTGCAGGGCCCCTCAGGCCCACCTTAAGAAAAAATGTGCCATTCACTGCGCCTAAACTGTACAATTGCAGAAAAAATATATACGTTGTATTGAACATTAAAGGACCAAATTCAGACTTTACGTTTCAATCTGGTAATGCATGGAATTTACGGGAAAGCTCAACTAAATAACAGCGCTAATAAGTGGGGGGCGTGGTGGCTTTGGCGATCGGTGTTCCAGTCAATCTACTCCACAGCCAATCACGGGCCTCCTCCTTGCTCGGGCCCCGGGGCTTCAGCCCCGCCTAGCCCAATGGTTAAAACGGCCCTGGGCGTGATTATCACGAAACGCTTTCTTACGGTCGGTGCGATGAAATAGCATTATTTACCAAAAGGAAGAAACACGATGGTGAAAAAAGAAAACAAATTCCCCGAATACTTTTCAGAAGACGACGATGAATGCGAGGGAAAATATTCCAGAGGATAACGGTAAATGAGGGTACTGTACTCTCTTGCTCTCTTTTTAGATCAAATTTACATAAGAAGATTGGTTTGAAGATTGGAGCTCACGGAACAAGGGGAAGAAGAGAAATTTAAATGAGGAAGCCTGATTTGAAGATCTTTCTTAAAACACTAGCCGGACCGCGCATGTAGATGTGCTGCTCATAAACACATGCAATAAAGATGCTTCAGCTCATGTGCAAAGCAATATTTTATATCAGATATATCTTTTCCTGCTTTGCATATTAAAGGAATTTGCATCTTAAAGAAATTCAGAAATAGCTGATTTACTCATCCTCATGTCTCCCATATGCTGCAAATGTAGACATTTTGAGGAATCTTTATGCAGCTATTTCCCATTCAACGAATCACGTCTGTCAAGTTTCAATAAGGATTAAAAACACAATAAAGCACCTTACACTACTGTTATGAAGCATGGATATTTTTAAAACTTGATAGCTTTGTGGCATTACTGTGACCAAAATATTTAAATCTTTGCTGCAAAACACTCTTAAAGGGAAAAAAGTACTAAATAAGTTTGATTCATTGTGTATATTGTTCACTTATGATAAATTGCTTGTGATGTTCCTCGTTTGTAAGTCACTTTGGATAAAAATGCATGCATTGTAACAAGCCATAACAGTGCCAAATTGAAAAAAAAAAATGCATGCTTTGCAAATGTGCCATACTTTAATGCAAAAGGTTGAACAAGATTTGATAAATAAAACTCTTGAAGCACCAAATAAGTTCAGTGATTCATTGCAGTGATTCTGACTTTCCTCATTTGTAAGTCGCTTCGGATAAATCATCTAAATGACAATATGCATGCATTGTAACAAGCCATAACAGTGCCAAATTGAAAAAAAAATGCATGCATTATTGATTGATGCATTGATTGAACAAGATTTACTAAATAAATAAATAAACATCCTAAAAATGCCAAATAAGTTCACTGATTTATTTTGTGAAAAGTGAAAAAATGCATGTATAGTGATGTGCCATATTTAAATGTGCAAATCTTTAAATACGATATTTATAGTATTTTGGCAAATTCCTCTCACAAAGCTTTCATATGGAAATTATGGAGTACTTCTATTGTAGCATCCTTTGTTTAATCTTTTTTGGAGGTTGACAGGATCAATCAATGCATGAACTGCATAAAAGAATTGTTGATATTATGCTAAATATCTTAAACAGGCTAAATATTCAGAGAGCTACACGTTTTATCATTACCTGCACTCCCTGGGAATCAAATGCATATTGGTTGATCTACAGGAACACTGAAGAAAAAAGACTTGAGAGTGAGTATATGACTGAACTATTTCTTTATCTCTGAAACTGAACTATTTCTTTAAAACTATATGTGGGAAACCAAAATAATCACTGCCTGCACAAACTTTGCACTACTTTGAGAAGTTGGGTGTTAAATATTGGCAGCCAAACAGCATATGATCAACTTAAACAAGTCTAAGTGAAGCTCGGAGCAGATATAAATTGCCTGGAGACGGGATGTTGAAAACACGCCGTGCGATTCACTATCAATATGTGCCAAATTGTGGGTTTACTGATGCTTTCTGTGTAACACAATATTCTACACACTCCTGCAGCCACTATAACAGCTGTGTGACACATAAGACCTTGAGCTGTAAAAGCAAACTCTGCCAGCCCGGCTCACAAATTAATTTGCAAATTTCTCTGACAATATGAAAGGCCGAGTCTATGCAGTCTGACACGGAGCGGAAAACGCCTGTATTTTCATGTAAAGCAGCGTATCGTGTGTTTGCTGCCGTGCAAATCCAACATTTATTGACAAACCGGACAGTCTGATATAGGTTTAACGATTGCACTGACAGACTTGGAGGCAAAAACTGATGTCTGCCCATTCAAAGGTCCAGCCGACAAAGTGAAATTGACAAATTAAATCACTGAAGTCGAACAGATGTGAGCCAGAATGAGTCTTTTGTAGTCAGAAGACCGGCCTCTCGTTATGAGACGGCACGCTGAAGCGGTTTGCACCACTCATGGGGTGTCACCAGAAGACAATTAGCCTATTGGGGCAAAAGCTGGCTGCTGTTCTAGCGCTATTAGCATCAGCGTGCATGGCTTGCCTTCTGGGATAGAGGCGTAAAAACCACATATCCATAATCACATCTGCATAATTGCGTCATTTATTCTGCCTGGGCTCGAACATTTCTGACTTATGGTTTCATGCATTTAAACAGAGTTCGAGTGAATTACCCAAGACAAGAGCATTAGCAAGTGCGCACAGACAGCATTCAATTAGCTAAAACGCTTAATGCAGCTCCAACTTTGCAGGTTTTATTCTCTTTCCTATTGAAAAAGCATCAGCATCTGCAGCTGTGAACGATGGAAATGAGATTTCAGATATTTCTATTTCAAACAAATGCCGTTCTTTTGAACTTTAGATTCATCTGTGAATCCTGAAAAATAAAATGCATCACAATTTCCACAAAAAAATATGAAGCATTGCAATGGTTTTCAACATTGATGATAATAAGTAATGTTTCTTGAGCAGCGAATCAGCATATTAGAATGATTTCTGAAGGATCATGTGAAAAGAAGACTGGAGTAATGATGCTGAAAATTCAGCTGTGGATCACAGAAATAAATTACATTTTAACATACATTCACATAGAAAACAGTTATTTTAAATTGTAATAATATTTCACAATTTTAAATTGTATTTATATACATATTATTATCATTACTTAATTGCTTTATATTATTATTACTTTTATATTATTTACGCATGTTTAACGCATGCATTTTGACATGTTGCACAAATAAATGGACTGGCTCCTTTTCAGCTCATTATTTTTGGGAATTTCTAAATTCTCTGAGAGAAGCAGCAAGCATGTGAAGTTTGTCATGGCAACCAGAAACACTGCGGCTACAATAAAAGTATCAACAATTCTTTTAATAGCAAAGAATCTGTTTTCCGTCCTGCAAACCCTAACAGAAATGCTAACTAAAAGACACTGACTCTTTTTTACTTCTGGACATATTTACATAGTCATGTACCTCGTAAAAACAGAGACGTCTGAGGTCAGAGGTCGTATTGTAGTCTAAAATACATTACAGGAATTAGAGATGAGATTTGCAAGCCAGAAGGTTTTCAAAGTATAACACGCACACGTACAGTAAACATCTGTGCATTCAACCAATGCTATCAGGCCTCATCTCGCAAATAACACGTAAAACATTTCAAAGCTTTCTCAGGCTGGTTCATATGAGGCATCTGAGGATTGGGAAGCTGTGTTAGCTCTCCAATGCAAAAGCAGCTCATCCAGCAATAGCCTTTCTTCACAAGCAACCAAACCGGTGCTATTGTCATGCTGGTGAAATAGAACTTAAATCAAGCCCTCAGAGAACACCTTTCATGTTTTTGCAGTAATGCCGGGCGATATCTCTTGTGACTCTAGTCACGTGTGGAAATACAACAGGCTTTCCGTAGACCAAAAATGTTTTTGACACGAATGCAGTTTAGCTTGGCAAATGATAATTGCTCAGTACATAACCTTAGGGCCATTGATCGCTTTGGCTCATTATATCTAACGTTCTGAGAATAGTAAGTGCACCTCCCGTGCTCTGCTGTGCCTTTATGCTGCAGTATTGAATCATTTCATTAGTTTGGGAGGTAACAGTATGGAATTCTACCTCAACCGCTTGGCTGCCAAATTAGATTTAATGAACAAATGTTCTGAAAAGTGCTCCTCGGAGAGAGATCCTCAGAGAGTCGAGGTGAAGACTGTATCACAGCATCCGCTAATCTTCATATGCTGCAAAACTGCCATTATACACTAGTACTAAAAATTGAGAGTTACAGATAACGGTGTTGTTGAATGATCTAAAAATTAAAGGTGATCAAAAAAAAAAAGCATGAAAGACGACGCCACAGTAATGTCTGTGTAAATTTAAAGGATTTTAGGGTGCAAAATGTCTCACAGCTGCAGCAAAACATACTGTGAGCATGATAATTACAACACTAAAATGTCAAAAACTAAATAGCCAGGGTTTTTTTTTCTTTTTTTTTTTGGAAAGAAATTGATATTTTAATCAGCACAGATGCATTAAATTGATCAAAAGTGACAGTAAAGACATTTATAATGTTAAAAAAAGATTTATATTTCAAATAAATGCTGTTCTTTTGAACTTTCTATTCATCAAAGAATTCTGACAAATAAAATGTAGCATGGTTTTCCCCAAAAAATGAAGCATTGCAACTGTTTTGAATCATCATAATGACAGGAAATGTTTCTTGAGAAGCAAATCAGCATATTAGAATGATTTCTGAAGGATCATGTGACACTGAAGACTGGAGGAATGATGCTGAAAATTCAGCTTTGATCGCAAGAATAAATTACATTTTACAATACATTCACATAGAAAACAGTTATTTTTAATAGTAATAATATTTACTAATTTTTTAATCAAATAAATGCAGCCATGGTGAGCCAATGTGATCTCATGATAATTCGTATGTATTTTACGTAACATGTGGTTCTATAAAACGTACATTTACTTACGTTTTTACAGGCACTAAAGCATACAATACTGACGTATTTTCAGCATCTAAACGTACAAAGACTTACATATTTTCAGCATTTAAACATACAAAATTGATGTATTGACAACACCAAAAAATGAATCCTTATGAATATTGAAATCGCGGCATTAATTATATTAGTTTTTAGTTGTCATATGAATTAGCTTGTTTTCAATTGCATTATTAAATAGTTTACTTATGAAATGATAACATTTCGTTTTGTTGTGTGATTTCTGCTGCCGGTCATTTGCGTTTTATATCCTTTTATATTCGCTATAAAATGGGTAGGTTAAGGTTTGGGGGTAGATTAAGGGGTCTAAAAATCTAAATTGCGTATTAATAAAATTATATGCCAGCTCGTTTCCAAGAATATGCCTACATGTTAAACAAGACTTCACTTTAAACCTTAAAATAAATAACATTTCTTTAACCGTTTAACCTTTACTTGTCATATAATGTTTACTTTGATTGTCATAGGCCACAAAAGGTGTTTTTTCCCAACATGCTGTGACTAACAATAGAATCGGTCATTTGCGTTTTATATCCTTTTATATTCGC